TTCCCTAATCACCCTATTAAAAATCACTACCCTCTCTGTCTCCCCTTCCTTATTTTTCTCTACAGCTCTTATCACCATCTGACATACACTTTTGCTTGTTTATTATCTGCCTCCCTCTCTTGACTGTAAGCTTCATGAGACACAGACTTTTGTCTACTCTATTCACTGCTCTGCTCCTGGTGCTTAGAACAAAGCTTGGCATGTGAACCACCTGATGTACAAAAATTCCAAACCGAACCCATTGCCGTTGAGTCGATTCCAACTCACAGCAACCCTATTATAGGGAAGAGTAGAACTGCCCCCATAGGGTTTCCAAGGCTATAAATCTTTACAGAAGCAGACTGCCACATCTTTCTCCTGTGGTACGGCTGGTGGGTTCAAACTGCTGACCTTTCAGTTAGCAGCCAAGTGCTTAACTACTGCGCCATCAGGGCTCCTGTACAAAAATTAGCCAAAAATAAAATGCCTTTATTACCACAGCTGTGTAACTGAGTAATATAAAATGAATTTTTATTAAGAACACCTCTACAATGCTGCACAAACAATAAAACTGTAGATGTGTATTAGACCTTCCACATTACTTGTGAATTCTTTTAGCTCCCGTTTCCCTCTGTTTTCCATCCCCTTTATCTCCTTAAGGTCCCTACTCAGCTTTTCTTCCCCTCATGACTTCCAAATAGGAGTCCTGCAATTATCCTTTGCTTAAATTTCAAGTTGGTCTTCACTTCTTATTAGCCCAGAGGAAATGGCATGCCTACTGCTTTCTAGAGCAAATCTAGATGGGGCTAATTATTCTTTTTTCCTTTATCTTTACTCTCCTCTATCAGCTCCTTCTAGTCAGCCTTCAGTGAGAACCAAGTCTTCTACAAGCTAAAATGAAAATAAACTTTCCCCTCAGTTATTCTCCCTTCAAACTACTATCACCTTCTTTTTCTCACTTATCTTAAAGCAGAGATTTCTACTTACTGACTCTACTTCCCTACCTTACACTTGCCTCTCAGCTCCAGCTGGTTTATGCCAGCTTTATTTACACATTGATGCCCCCCCGCAAATTTCTAATGTCATTCTCCACCTCTCTCCCGAGCACCATATCCAAATCATCCACTTCACATGACTCACACTGACCTCATATGCAATCTAATTTATTTCTCTTGCTCTCGTTTCCTCCATCCTCCCAAAACGTGGTCTATTTCCATACTGACTACAGATATACCATTTACCTCCTTCTCCCAAGCCAGAAACCACAGGGCCATTTTATAAATGTCCCTAATTCATGTCTAAGTAGTCATAAAGTCTTGTTTACTTTACCTTATAAATGTCATTCTGCCACTGCCCTGAATTTAAGACCCACTGTCTCTTCTCTGGACCATTTTCATAGCTCTTAACAGTTCTCCCTGCTTCCAGTCTCTCCCATTTCTATTCATCTTCTCCACTGCTGCCAGACTAATTGTTCTAGGTAATTCTTTGCTCAGAAATCTGTTTTTCCATGGTCTACAAGACAATGTCCAAATTCCTCAATGTGGTCCTTCCTTATACATTTCTTTCCACTATCCTCTAATGTAGTTTACTATAGTTCCCAGGACAGGCCATGCACCTGATTACTTTTACTCATTCTGTCTCTCCTCGCCCCTCAACCCATGAGTCTTAGAATGTCCTTTTCGTCCTTATTTACCTAGGGAATTTCTACTCATTTCTCAGTTCTTCAGTTCAAATGTCAATTCTCGTCAAGCATTTCCTAACCTTATTACTCCAAGCAAATTTAACCACTATTTTCTTTTTCATCCCCCAAGCACTTTTTGTATGTATCTTTTAAAATACTTAAAATATCGTTAAAGTGTGTTGTTTTTCTTTGTTAACCACGAGCATCTCAAGGGCAGGGATATCTTATATCTTTGCATCCACAGCACTACGCAGAATTCCTTGCACAGTATGGATTACTGGGAGTCAAGTCCAAACTAATGTGGAATCAAAAGATACAGATATAGCCTCCTCACCTTTACTCTTTTTGAGAATTTCCCCCTCTGTAAGGGGAAAGAGACGTGCTTCTGTACATTTTTCAAATAATTAAAAGTTGTAAAATAAACTAAAATATTCTGAAGGACTGAAACATCGTTCTTTCTTCCTATAACTCTCACAGCGCTTTATATAATACCCTGTAGGAATAAGCAAGTCTTTGCAGAAGAAATTAACTAACATAACTACATCCACTTTATGCAGCTCACATAAAAATATACTGAAACTCTAACCTCAAACCTCCCGCTTTAAGGAAGTTCTCACAGAATGATTTTGCACAGCTTCTTGCCATGTCATCATCAGCTGTTGGCATGAGTTTAGAGCTTAGCACCTAGGAAACAGATAAGCACAATTAATCATCCCAACATTTTCAGGAGAAATTATCCCTTTATTAAATACAACATTCAGATAACATGAGTTAAAATGTCTTTAAGTAGCCACTTTTTTTCCAGAAGTATAAAGGGGTTTATGTTCCACAATGGAAATAATCACATTTTCTAAATTCTACTTACTTAGCAAGAACAATCTTTCCGTTCTGAAGAAAACTGGTGTGCTCTTTTTAAGAAACCAGCAAATGTTGAGTAAGTCTAAGACCCTCAGGTTTCGATAAGAACAGATAACTTTATATGATATGCTAGATACGTTCTTTTAAAGTATATAAACCAAAGTTTTATAAATCCATTGCCGTTGAGTTGATTCTGACTCATAGCGACTCTATAGGACAGAGAAGAACTACCCCATAAGGTTTCCAAGGAGCAGCTGATGGATTCGAACTGCGACCTTTTGGTTAGCAGCTGAGCTCTTCACCACTGCACCACCAGGGCTCAAAGTTTTATAGAACAGCCTATATCGTAAATATGCTAACTGAGCTCCCTAATAACGACTTTTGAGCATTTTCAAAGCTGTAATCTTTACGGGAGCAGATTGTCACATCTTTCTCCCA